ATCATTGACCATTCACCGGTTCTATTAATCATCAGCTCATTCATTATTGAAGACAAACAAGCAAAACTCAATTTCATAAACAATAAAAACAGATTGGAAATACTTCTCAGAATGGCTAATTAATAACAGCACTGCTAATCTACGCATTGAAAAGTGCTCTCGATGTTAAATTGAAAAGCAAATAGAATACGTAACAAGACAACTTTAATCTAGCTGCAATGGGTATTTCAGCACCAGAAATTAGCCAAGCAAATAAAAAAACAATATCCCACAATTAATAAGGAAAGGGTGATAGCAAAACGCAAATTAAAAAAACAATGCAAATCACTAAAGATCCAGCAACTAAAAGAAAGACTAAAATTCTGCTTCACAAAACCCTGAAAAGATTACTTCAGCAGAACACCGAAACAACGCTCCTACAAGATAAACTTATAAGACTGACTCCAAATTCTAAATTCAGAGTACTCTCTTTGAAAACCATTCAAATGCTGAAGAGACCAATACAACCTATTCCTCCGATTCAGGGAAAAACTGATGGTACATGGGCTAAAAAGCGACGAAGATGAAAACGGAATGCTTTTGCCCTCCCATTTCTCTACGGTCTTTCAACATTTCCTCGCACAAATATTGCCAGAAAGAGGAAGAAAATTTACAACTTCCTAGATCACCCGTAAGCAACTAGCTCCCCAAATCAAGCCCGTAAGGTGCTCGAGAAGTTGAAAATATTAATCAAAATTTTACCACAAGAAAGCTCCCGGATTGAAATGATTTCTTGTAACAATTCTACGCCATCTACAAGAAAAATTGATTGCCTTAATTACTTCCATTTTCAATTTTGCCATTCTAAGATTAGGACACTTTCCTCGAGCAATGGAAAATAGCCCAAGTAATAATCATCCTAAACCGGCAAACCAATGCATAAGTAGTATCATACAGACCTATTAGTCTTCTACCAACACTATCCCAAGTTTTGAGAAACTATTTCTGTCACGTTGAATTCCACTTCTACAGAAAAAGAAATAATTACCCCATCATCAATTTGGGGTTCAGGACAAAGCCGTTTCGACTATAGAACAAATCCATCGAATAGTAAACGAAATTAGTGAATCGCTAGAAAATAAAGAATATTGCTCTGCCGTGTTTCTCGACATTAAGCCAGCTTTCGATAAGGTCTGGCACCCAGGTTTATTGTATAAAATTAAGCAAAACTTACCATATCCTTACTATCCCTTACTAAAATCGTACCTCACGGAGAGATATTTTCAAATAAAATTTAACAGTGTAACTTCAGAATTTATCCCTATATATTCGGGGGTTCCTCAAGGAAGTGTGCTTGCACCTTTCCTTTACTCATTATACACTGACGACATTCCAACATCAGAAAACGCATTGACAGCAACCTACGCGGATGACACAGCCATCTTAGCTCCGACACAAAGATCCAGCAGAAGCATCACGTCTCGTAGAAGAACATCTGCAATCCATTCACAAGTGGCAGAAACGCTGGCGCCTCAAGACAAATGACAAGAAGTCTGCCCAAGTTACCTTCACACTGAAGCACGAAACATGCCCTCCTATAAAAATCGGATCACAACCTATTCCTCAAAACGACTCAGCAAAATATCTTGGAATTACACTGGACAGAAGACTTACATGGAAAACACATATAAAGAATAAAAGAAAAGAATTAGATCTCAAAATTATCAGATTAAACTGGCTATTAGGAAAAAACTCATCCTTAAGCATCGCAAACAAAATTCTTCTGTATAAAGCATTACTAAAACCTGTCTGGACATATGGAATACAACTTTGGGGAGCAGCTCAAAATTCAAATATTGAAATATTACAACGCTTCCAATCTAAAAGCTTCAGAAAATTTGTAAATGCTCCATGGTACGTAATGAACGCCACAATACACCGAGACTTACAAATGACAACAATAATGGAAGAAATTAACAAGACCAGCGCAAAATACTTACAACGACTACATAACCATCAAAATATCCTTGCCATTAACTTACTAGACAATAGTGACACTACCAGACGACTTAAACGATATCATACTTTAGACCTGACATATCGACTATAAATTGTTTTATTATTTTCTGTTTTATTATTATAAATGCTTATCATCTTATATTTTTAGTATGTTAGTTTAGTTATCAAATATGTTTAGTGTGTGTTAATCTGAAAAAAATGTAATATTATGAGTACGGTCAATGGACCTTACTCCTCTCATGTTATTAAAAAATTGTATGCATTTTTGCCAAATGTTTGCACTCAAACAAATTGCAAAATAAAATATTATTATAAGAAATATTTTAAATCGGATTTCAGAGTGTCTTCCCTTTTTTTTACGTGATGATGATAACTTCAACAACACACCGTCATTGCCACTTACCTATAAGTTAACGAGTATTCCTCAAAACACCTCTTTCTCACGGTCAAGACGTTTTTTTGTTTGCTTTTTCTTCTTAAGGTAGCCAATATTTGGGTCAGATCAGATTAATTGAAGCAAATGCTACATCATTGTATGTGTTTCCAGAATTTTCCAGAAAACCCATATCATCCCACAGACCAGGTCTGAAAGTTTGCCGCACACTGTATCACAACAAACAATGCATACATAACTGAGATATTTCAAAGTAGACATGGATTTGCCAGTAATTTTACGAAACAAATCATGTTGTTTAGAGGTGTGCTGGTAATATTTTGATGTTTGATACAGTGTTTGGCAGGCAGTTCATTCGGTTGTGGATACAAACCGATCAGTCTAAGAGAAGACAAGTGCGTAATTCGTAACACTATAATGAAATCTGAAGAAGAAGAAGTAGAAATAAATATAAATATTTTAGAAGATTGGACATAATTGATTATTCAAATTTGGTATCCATTCATCAATTAAGTACTGTTTGCTCGTACGGGAATGTTGAACTTTGAAAATCGAAAGTAACAACTGCTGAAGTGCTATTGTTAGATTTTGAATCGACTGAAATTTCTTAACCTTACAAGATCTATCTTGCAAATTTTTGGTAATTTCAAGAAACTCAAGTTTATTTGAAGATTATGAGCTACGTTATAACCGGTCATCGGCTCAGTCATAATTTCGCTAGGAGATTGCACTTTGACAATGGCTCTCCTCGTCTCACACGACCACTAGTACTGCAACTGGACCGTACCCAAATTGAGCCGTAGAATGATAGTCGCTAGATTACTAACGGCCAACTGCTTTCTCTGAGCCATTGGACATAACAGGTATAAGCCATCCATTCAGAAAGTTCTTCAGCGTTAGACCATTCTGTCAACTTGATTCAAACCAGTTTATCCCATCTGAACACAAATGAGATTTCAAAAGTAAACGAAACGAAATGATTGCAAAATAAAAGACTAATTACTCAAGAGTGGACAATTGAAACCTAGAGACACACATGCAAACACAACACATACATCTGCAAGTTTGACATAACCTTGAAAAAATAGAGAAATAAATAATGCCAACAGACTAGCAATTAATATTTTTATATGCCAATAGTGCAAAGGGTCTCCCCATCGTGGCGTTAGGTTTACGCAAAACAGAAGAACATGGCAGTGTGAGATGATTTTTCAAAAATTGTTTTCAAGTATCTTTGCATATTGTTATGGCGGATGGAAGTTGTACCGAGAATTTATGGTAAAAAATAAGTTTGAAAATGCTCTTAAATAAGAGTTGAGAACTGACATTAAGATATTGATTTTTTGTCTAATTTATTTATTTCTAGAGATTCAAACCATTGCGTATTTTCAGACTTGCCATGAGTAAATATTTATTCTCTAGACAATTATGTCGGGATCCTTTTCAAAGCTTATTGATCTTTTCTTTAAAATTGTATATTTTGAAAGAAATTAACTTTCAAACTTGTCGCAAAATGATTTTTTTGTACCGATTTTCCGATCACAGTGCGCAAGATACCGTAAAGGCACAGAGAAAACTAAAAGGCACAGAGAAAACTAAAAGGCACAAGCTGTTTATGTATAGTTTTGTCGATATACAACATGGTTTTAATGGGAGAACTACAGATCGAAAAAGTGGAATATGGAAAAGATACATGTTATTTAGATGTCGATTGAGTTGAAGTTGAATATAACAAAAGAAAACATGCATTTCCAAGTTTGAGATAATGTTGAAAAAAGAAAAATGTAATGAAGAATACGTGCCTGTGAGCAATACATACAAGTTTAGCTGTGCTTTAAATCAGGAACCCAAATATTAACATGACATTAACCCGGGTATAAATTATTCTTTAATTATTTCTAGTGCTAAGAAAATTCTTTTATTTTGCATAAATATTTTTGTGCAGTTAGAGACAATAGTGGACATTAAAATGAACATACTTTATTTTAATAATATTATAAATACTTTAATGACCATTTATACTCTTTAATTTTAAAAGACTAAAAATGCTTGTAACAAGTATTGTACTTTAGCATCTGGGTCAATGGCCCTCATCAGATGAAGTTTTTTTCCCCTTTGAGTAAACACTGGCCCAAAATTTTCCTTCTAGACATAAATGTAACTTAACTACGCGCACGTTTTGTTGATTTCTCGTTTAGCTAGTTGTGGTAAGGCCAGGGTGTTTTAGGGTTGTTACTTTGTTAGCAGTGCTACAAAATCAAATATGCCTATATTGTTTCCCTATGAAAATGCAGAAGTTTTGTATTGACTCTGAAGCGAAACTGTCTTAATGTCAATTGTTGCTAACTTTGCTTTCTTGGTACTTTTATTCATTATTGACCTATTCAAGATAAAAGGGTGATGAACAGAATCTGGACCTTAAGAAAATATGCTCGTATTACACTTGTAACCCACGTCCCCACCATACCCCATACGTCATATACAACTTTTACTTATTTTACAATAAACAAATAAATTAATGAACTTTTATTTCATTATTACTTAGATTTAGTACTATAGTTTGTATTTTATATATTATTATAGTGATATTTCATTATATTTTATTTTGTCACAGGTGTGGATCGACGCGGTAACGCAAATCTTCTTTTCGTATGGGTTGGGCCTGGGCACATTAGTAGCCCTGGGCAGCTACAACAAATTCACCAACAACGTCTACAAGTAAGTAAATGCTTTCAAAGACCGTTTACGTTTTTTGTGCGGTCTTCACCAGGGAAAATGTGTACATTTCTCCTCTTGCTTGAATGGAAAATTACATTCTTGTATACAAAGTTGAATAATTTCTATACAAATAATTTTTTACACATTTCGACAATATTGTAAGGGAAAAGTATAATTTTTCATTAAGTTTGTGATTAGATGCAGTGTGATAAATTACCAGACTGGCAAGGTTAATTTCGTATTATAATCTCGCTGAAAATGTGTTATATTGCCAACAAAAACAAGATCGAGTCCATTACATAAAATTGAAGCGGTCATTCATCGCCGTAAAAAGAGCATCATTAAAAGTCATTTCATTTTTTTGCTGTTGCTGCTTTTAGAAAACGATAGTATATGATTTCGCTTCCCCGTTCAACAAATAATCTTTCGGAAAATTCATTCAAGCGCGCATCCGCACCCACCTCGGAGCAACAATTTCCGCAATAGTTTCCGTAATAAGAGGCCGCGAGTTTCCTGGTCGTCCTCCTTTTCTCCGCTGCGTTGGCCCGCAAGTAGGTTGCTCGGGGGAGCCGTTACGCCAGCGTCGAGCCATCAGATGGCCGCCGCCCGGCGCGATCGGTTTTGCTCTCTTCCGGCGGCAGGCGGCGCCCGGCGGCGATGCTTTCGAGCCGAGACGTGCACGTTCTAGGCAGTTGGCGCCACCTCCAACGTCAGCAGCAGCGCCACTTTGGTGCATCTGCGCATTCGCAGAAGGTCGAGGGCGCTGGCGCTATGGCGCGCACAAACTCCCTAATAACATCTATGAATTTGTGGATTTCTCGCAATCAACTGCCATTGACAACTGCCACTGTTGCTCACCCCAGGCTGCTTGCTATTCGCAACCCTTCTTCAGTGGTGTAACCCTTTGTGATCATTTTGTACGTGTTAATATCGTTAAACGGCGCGATCCGGTGGGCTGTGGATGACAAGAAAGCATTTTTGTTGTTATTTAAAACATCGATTTAAAAAATGCCATGAAATAAATAACATGTCTAGTATCTATTTTATTTGTGGATTGCTCGCAATCAAACACCATGGCAAATGTCAATGTTATCCAGGCGAAAAGTTACTTCGAAATGTTTCGTCATATTTAAAACATCAATGTTTTCATCGACATCGCAAATCGCAATTTTGGTGATTACCAAAGGATCGCTACATCTATGATTTGCTAAAATTTGCCTTCACTGGCTCCGGAGGTAGTCTCCACAATAGCCCGAGAACGTCAACGCGAAGACAAGGACGGAGGCGGCACTTGACAATAGATCAAGCAACCTGTGCGCCGCTTTTCAAAAAAAATAATCTATCTTTTATCGTTTTCTTTTATATTAGAGAGACTTTTTACGTTCGAATGGAAACATTTCTTAGTAAACACGACGCGTGTTCAGATTCCCAACATGGGTTTCGAAAATCGAAATCTACAGAAACAGCGATATTTTCTTTTCTTAAAGATGTCGCCTGATCCATGGATCAAAACGAAGCACCTATTGGAATATTTTTAGTTCTTTCAACAGCTTTTGACGTCATTGATCATAACATTTTACTCACAAAATTACCTTCGTATGGAATTCGAGATATTGCCCTAGATTAGTTATGTTCGTACCTTAAACAACGATCTAATGGAGTAGAAATACCTTCCTGGATCCTGGAATAAAGGAACATTATGTTCACACCTGATTCTTTGCCAATTGCATGTGGAGACCCGCAAGGATCGATTTTAGGCCCTATTCTCTTCCTACTATACGTAAACGATACGTAAACGATCCATAGCACGTCACACACAGTTTTTAACTGTGTAATAAATAAAAAAAACTTAAACTTCTTGTAATGTGTTTAATGTTGTTGCACAGCCCACTCTTCAACCAGTGTTCAACATAGATATATAAGAAACACGTGCCTTTTCGATATCCCCCCATTTCAATCTCTAATTTTTCCCTTTTAAATTAATGTTTTACCACATTTACAAATACCTACATAAAACACCGGCTGTTGCTTTCCAGGCATATATGGAAATATTTATTTATTTTTCGAAGTTTGGGGCTCTTAAATTTATTGAATCATTGAAGGTCATGATTAATTATCTAATGAGATCGTGATAGCGATAATGATCGGTTGTGTGATAATGAAGAAATGGAAAGGAAGGGAGCAGATCGGAGCAAATCAGAGAAAACTTGTGGAGAGCTCGCCTTTTCTCCCATACTTTCCACATGAATTTGTTGCAGATCCAATCCAGGACCTAGCGTTAGAATAGAAGTCAATTTTAAAAAGAGAAAAAAATTCAAGCAACGACCAAAAGAGATACAGTTTTGTGAGTACAGGACATTAAAAAGGTTGTTGTTTTCATTGTTGTGTCCAACTACGTGTAATGCCCGTTGTCTAAAAGAAACTTCTTTTTTAACCCAATCCCGACATTGGCTGAATTATTAGAAATTTCTAGCTTTGCACCATCTGAGTTTCCAACGATTGCAACTAATTTTCACATTCGTATTTGCTGCTAGAAACCGAAACAACAACGGCAACAGGTATATGGTGTCCGTCAATTTCGTAGTTCCCTGGTAAAGGGAATAAGAGATATCATTATAACGAATGTCGATACTAGCTAAATTAAATATATCGAATTCAATCGTAGTCTGGAAGAGAATTCTAGCGGCCGCCTGCTCTGATTAGTAGTTTTCCGAGATTTCTCTGTTGCCAGGCGAATACTGGAACAATACCCCGACAAACGGGCCACCGTCCATGGAAGATATTTCCATTCTCATCCTTCCCAAGTCCCATGCCACCCCCTTGAACGTGTACCCGCCCCTTGCGTACTGTATTTCTAGAGAACAGTTGGAAAAAACACTACAACATATATCGAGAAAACAATGGGAGGAATAGAGCTTGTAGAACAGAAGGCGGTACCACGATGAAGGAATTAGATGGGGTAATATAGTACGCATACAACAGCGCATCATTCAAATTTCAAAATTTTCAAAATTTTGAAATTTTGAAATGGTTTTCAATCCTCTCCACCAACTACATAATTGAAGGTAAATATTTGTTTTTAAGAAAATCAGTTTTCCAAAATTGGATTTTTTAATGCCACATAGATTTAAAAAGAACTGGGCTTCAACATGACGTACTTTCTTGTACTTAGTAACCGTTACGTAATATTGCAATACGCAATTTCTCTCCATATCAATACATCGGTCGTCCCTCGTAAAACTAATAACATATCGTAGAAGATTAGGTGTGAAAACTAAAACTTTTAAAACTAATACATCAACACAAATACAATAATTAAAGGCGTATTTTAGTCTTAAAAAGTAGAAGTAAAAACAGTGGTGGCAGAGGTGTCAATCTCTACTTCCCCTTGTTGACAGAGACGTTGTTAAAGCAACTTAGTAGTTTCAGAACAACACACAGAAATTTTCGAAAATTTAGAGAATTTGGCGAATATGAGGCATTTTAGCGTTACTTGTTCTAGGAAAAAAAGAAAAGAAAAAGTCTTCCCTCTACATCTGCCTGTCAGTCACTGCTGATGGATGTAATTTTTAAAAGGGACAGAAAATCCTCACTTCACCATCCGACATTTGTGCACATCCTGGAAATAGTTCTCGAAATTGATGAGAAACCTATTAGCCATATATAAGTTCGTTTTGCCACGAGCAGTATTCCACAAATAATTGACAAATTCCTAAAGTAGAAAGAGCTCATCATTACTGTGCGTAGTTGATCCAAACCATGCTATGCGCACTTCGGATCATCTACGCTCATTTATTTCCACACATATTAAAACTGAGTGTATTATTGTGGTCTTGAGTTCACAAGTCACGCTGTAGTCTATGTGCATTTCGTAGCACGTTGAATGTGGAAACAAAAGCACTGCCACATCACAATTCTCCATGCATATATTCGTAAACTTCCGTTGTTTGTTTGGCTCTTTTTTATATCCCATCTTTGTAATTATAAATTTAGATTTGAGTCACAACTAATATTAAATACGATAATATGACGAAAGGTTGAGTTAAAATTACTCCCAGATTATATGACAATGATCGAAATGGACGATGAATAATTTTCTTAGGTACGGATTAAAAAATGTGGTGCTGGAATTTTAGGAAACTTCAAAATTTCTCAAAAATAAAAATTAAAGTCAGAAATTATTGAAATTATATTGCGGATACAATTTTGCTTATTTTATTGTATTAGGTGATTTGGTAAGTATGTATGTCTTCTGAATATAATGTTATTGTAATAATATCTTATATTAAACATTGCATTGCATACTTTTCATTATGATTTTTTTAAATTTATTAAATTGATAATTAAATTTTAAAAATTAGAGTCACGTTTCCTTAAGAAGAATACAAGATATACCACTATTCCTGCAATCACTGTTTTTTACGTTGCTGTCCGATTGTGGGAAGAAGATTTTATTAGCCTACTCATGTGGAGAAAAAATTCAATATTGCCCGCGATTTGCATGCAAATCGTCAATGGAGCGCATAGGGAGCACCCAGGTCTGAGTTTCCACAGCTAGACAGCTGGGTCGAATTCAGCCACTGTCTAGCGGAGAATTCTAGTGGCCGTTAGTTCTGATCGGAAGTTTTCCATGGTTTCTTCAATCAACTCCAGACGAATGCCTGAGCGGTACCCTATCTAAAGGACCAGGGACCGCGCGCAATTTTTCCATCCCCTTCCTTGTCCTATCCTCGTCTCTTAGACACATTTCCACTCACGTGCCCTGCACTATCACCCTTTGAGGGATTCAATTCGGAAGCTTCGAGCTTGTCCCGGCTGGGGCGGTGCTCTCAAGCCAGCGGCCGGGGATCACGTCCATCTCCCTCGATAAGAAATATGCACTACACTTACGTGATTAGACCTTAGGAGTTGATGCGCCCGGAATCATTAATCAATTAAATATAATAAATTAAACTTCTTGAGATTTAACTCTGCATGTTTAGTTGAATGGATTATTCTTG